GTAATTTTAAAGGCTATTGTTCGCTTAGGTCTATTTTTATTTTAAAAAAATTGATTAATCGTCAAAATAATCTACCGATTACTTGATTACCAAAACAACTGTTAGTGACAGCCCTAATCAAAACATTATTTATGCATTTGTAACTGCAGGTTAAATGCATGCATGACCCCCTGAGCTGCATTAAACTGTTAAGGTGATGATACACAGGGCAACTTTTTGAGCAATGTTGCTGGGCAATCTTGCCGAGCGATTGTTGCTTGGGCACTTTCCCATTGAAAATGGGCAATACATTTCTATCTAGATGATTTAGATCGGTCGAGGGCCCCGTGTCTCACGTGGTTGCCCGTTGACGGCAACATTGCCCAGCAACATTGCTCAAAAAGTTGCCCTGTGTATCATCACCTTTAATGTTAATGCATCTAAATAAATGCCACTTCAAATGCAGCTTCTGTGTTTCCTCTGCATTGCAAAGATTAATTTTGTTGATACTGATTTCATTTGATTGGTAACACAGGGTTTTTCCTGCATAGAGAATTACGAGGCGGCTGCCTCCGTCAAATTTCGTGCCGCCTCCGGCTTTCGACAAAACTCGGACAGACAGTCACATGTTCAGATACACTTTTTCCACCGTGACGGTTCTGTTAGTCGAAATTCGGCACAACACCGGCCTGTGTCCATTCTCAAACAGATAGTTTGCCGATAGTGCTGTGCGGATCATAATCCGCGGGTCGGCAGGCCAAGTAATAAAAACATAACATTCCAATTAATCGAGGGTGGATGACCGATAAATTTATAATGTGTTGAGTTTAATAAAGACACGGTAAAACGCAATGAACGTGCATCACTCTTTTACTTTCGTTTTCAACAACGTAATTCTCTTTAGGGGAAACCAATCAAGGAAAACATATCAGGGCTCGACATTAACGCTTGTCCGTGTTTTTTTTTTTTTTGAAGGGACAAGTGAAAGAGGATTGTACTTGCCCAACCGGACAAATGCCCTGATTGAAATAATTTTCAATATCAAAAAAATAAAATAAAAAATAACTAGGGAATCACCGAAAACACGAGGATGATTCTGATTTTATTTCATTTAATGTAAGTGGAGATTGATAGCCTATAGTTGATAATATAGGCCTACCTGATGTAGGCCTACTGACGGTAACAAAGTTGCGCTGTTGAGGCTCGCGCAGTTATTTATAACATATTATACAGTTAAATCATATATAGTGCCACTGCTCCCCCTCTGAAAAAGTTTATAACTTTAATCCAAAAAAAACAGTGCGAACAACTAGAAGTGTCACAAGGGGGAGTGTAGCTTCCCACAATGTAAAACACAATTTGGGAGCTCCTCCTCATGTGTTCCATGAGACAGTGGAATAGCCTTCCCACGGAACATTTTATGTACAGATTTTCACACTTTTTCAAGTTTAACAAAGAGTTGGTTGCTAAGTAAGCAAGTTTGCACACATCGTTAAGATAATGTGTTTGTGTGTGCGTGTGTGTTGTGTTTGAATGAGTGTCTAGAGTTGGATTGTGCTATAATGTGCTTAAGATGCTGCTAAATTGTTTGTGTGTTTGTTTGTTAGGGAGGGGTGAAACAGAGGGTAAATAGGCTGATGGTCTCCCTGTTTCTGTTTTGCTAACCTGTGTGTTTGTAATTACGATGGACATTACTCTATCCATAATCTTGTGAAATTACTATTTTAAAATAGTTTTTTAAAATTTGTCATACCTGCCCAGGGACTACAGGTGGAAATTAGCAATTGTTGCTACAACCTGGCCCAAGACATATTCTCTTGTATTAACAAGTTTAATGTTTATTTGTGCATTGTCCCTATTTCAAATAAAACAATTTCCATTTCCATTAAGAATCACCACATGACCAGAGTGCTGTTTTCCTGAATCCCATCACGATTGAAACAGAGACACTGATTTCCTAAGTTCAATAAACAAATAGATAGTTCAAATTAAGTCACTTACATTTCAGACGCAACGACTGTTTTTGTTCTGTTTCAGCAGCGAACATATTTCCAAACAAAGATCACAGCAGATGGAGCATGTGAAACCCAGGGAGCGGTTCTAGCGGACCAATCACAGCACCTGCGGTACGCGTAGAATTGATGCGTTGTTACATTTTTGGAGAGGTGCACGTCAGGGTACGCACTACACACAGCCTACGACGTAGCTACGGCGGGAGGTCGACGCAGAAGTATAAATTGGGCTTAACACTGCACTTTAGATGTGTGTGAATTTCCCACACCAGGAGTAAATTTATATAGTTCTATTTTATTGCGATTATCTGTTTAAAAAAATGTTCTATGCAAAATGTTCTATTAAAGAAAAGATAGAAAATAAATATTTGTGTGATGTAAAAAAGTGGTTAGAAAAAATTAAATCTGAATCGGCTAAAATCGGTATCGGCAGGTCAAACTCAATGAAAAATCGGAATCGGCCTAGAAAATTGTAATTGGTGCATCTCTAATTTGAACAAATCGTTTGAATGAATGACTCAATGACTCGCTCATTAAGATGGTGCCTGCAGCCACCTATTGGCGGTTTAGTTTCAAAGTATCATTCTTTTCAACATTCCTTATTTGTATATTTAAAACAATCTCATAATCTCATTTAATACAGTTGTAATTTTTCAATGTAAATTATTTAATTTGATTGGTAACAGCCTAGTGTCTTATTATTCTAATTGAATGTATTGATCAAATTTAAGAATTTGAAATGAAAGATGGAGCATACATTTAATAAAATTAGGGGAAAAATGTCCTTTAAAAAGGTAAAAAAAATTATTTTTATATTTTGAAGAGTGTTTTCCAACAGTGATGTAATTGACAATTTAAGTTTGAAGGGAGTAACGCCTCTGTTTAGGCTATTAAGGAAATGTATTTTTCCAAAAGAAGAACTTTAATTTTAAATAAATGTTAATTCAGTCAGTGTGATATGTTACCATATTATCATGCTTAACACTGAGAATCTGAACAATTGTAATGTGATGATCAGATGCAGATATTTAAATCAAAGAATATCATAAGTTTGGGCGGTTGACGGGTGGATTCTTTATTTTTTAACAGCGGATTCGGGTGACTCAAAGTGCACCAGATTAATGAATAATTTATCTTTAAAATAGGGACCCCCCTAGAGGTACCGAGCTCCACCCACAAAATACTGTGGGAAACACAGTAGGCTATATGATGGTCTACGAAAAATACACATTTAATTATCTTATTAAAATACATGATCAGGATTTTACCACCTCCGCCTCGTTTTGAGCCAGGAAAAACCCTGTAACAGCCATATTGTGTCTTATTATTCTAATTAAACTTCTTGATTAAATGTAAGAATTTGACACAGAAGATGATTTAATTAGGTTCAAAATGGCTTCATAAAGGTAAAAATCTATCTATTACTACCACTGACACAGGGAAGAGTTCATTTCTGTGGGCATCAGTTTTATGAATTGAGTGAATAATATATTTTGAAGAATATGGGTAACCAAAGAGTGGATGGACCTCATTGACTTCCATAGTATTTTTGTTTTCCATACTATGGAAATCAATGGGATCCATCAACTGTATGGCTACCCATGATGTTCTTCAAAATAACTTTTGTGTTCAGTAGAACAAAGAAATTCATAAAGATGTGGAACAACTTGAGTGCGAGTAAACGACGACTATCCCTTTAAAGTCAGCACAAAACAGAAGTTGTGATAGTCTTTTCTTCCCTATTGTTTGTGACATATGTCCGAGTAAAACGTCTTCTGGACAAGAAAAGAAATGTAGGGCGGGACTTGATTTTGTCCATCTGTAATTGATTGGATTGTTGTGGTTCGCTATTGCTGTGATCTCATGTGAGTGACAGGTTGTCCCGCCCTCGCGCCGTTGTACACGTCATAAGAGAAGAGCAACTTGTTTCAAGTGGGAGAGGAAGTTCCATGATTTAAATTTTAAAACAATAATAATAATAATAATGTGATTAATCATTTATAGAAAATACTGCAATATTCCATACAAAAACCCATTTACTTTGCATGGGATATGTGAGAAAAGAGTGGGGGGAAAAAAACAGAAAAATGCGAACATGACTTCGGCGACCACGCCCAGTTCACACACACCAGCGCACAATGTTTAAACAAGACACCTCGATCTATCCATAGGGCTGATATTCAGTCTGATCACGGTCCATCCGGGGATTTATGCGTGCGAACTGCTCCCGCCCAGCGCGCGCGCGTGTCCAACCGAGTGCGTTCCGCTCTTTACCTGACATTACGTTACCTTTCTAGTATCCGCTTTGTCTCAATACAAAACCAATGCTAAACTGGGGTTTTGTTTGCCACATTTTATATTCCAACGGCATTTCAGACTATGAGAATATATTAAATTGTGCAGACAAAGAGAAAAATACCTATCATTTCCATAAGCAAATACACACGGTCGATACCTTCAACTGACAGGAACTCCACAGTAGTAAAGCAGTGAGGTAAACGCCCTACTTTTTGCCCAATGTGCCCGACAAGATCTAGCTTGCCAGATGTCCTCTAGGACTACGCTTGAATGCGATAAATCACAATTTTACACTTATATTCTGAGTCCATAACATATGAATGATAACAGATGAAGTGAGATTTCTGTGCGGAGGAGGAAGACTCATCCTTCCGTTGTCTGGAAATCTGAAACGGCTTGAACTGCACTAAGACTCTGGCATATGCGGAAAACAGCGGTTATTAAGTGACACAACAGCCATGGCTGCGTTAAAATAAGTAATTCACGGCGAACTTTTAATTCTGGTATGATCCGCACTGAACCACGAGTTGTTTCTCAAGCAAAAGCTTTGAAGCATCCCTGTGCAAGTAACGTTAGCTATTGCAAAACATTTGCTTCGCTTCGAGTGATATAAATTGCTCGGTTAAAATGAGCAGACTCGGAACAAAGAAATACAGTTCTTATTTATACAACGATACACTGAAGAGGTAAATGAAACGAAAGTAAGCCAACCTGTGAATGAGAGTCTGTCTCCGGCTGTACAGTTCAGCTGCCACTCACTGACTGACTGTGGCGCGCAGCACAGCGTTCCCGTGCGATCCACGGGGTTTCCGTCCCACTCACGCTCTGCTGGAGCAGGGACTGGGCAGGGGCCATGACGTCAACCGCTGCCAAGGCAACCGGATTTTTGATTGGCGTGCGCTGCAAGGAGAACCTCGAGCGCGTTTGATTCTGAAATTAATCTAAATGGGGAGAATGATTTTAAATTAACCCTATAAACTAAAGCCTGATATATGAAGTAGTCTTTTTGAAATTAAATAGTTCATACATTTTTTTTTGCATATGTGTTTTATATCATATTTGATACATCAGGCTTTTGTGTAGCCCATATAGTGTATAATGAGAATAAAAATAATATGAAGCTCATACTTGAGAAGGAAAAAAAACGGGCCAAACTGAGCAAAAATATGCACATAAAATGAAATTCTGAAAGCTAATGTAATAAATGTTTAAAAACATAAAAATGTACACGAAATGCATATAAATATCAGTTGTCTATCTCCCAATAACACGTCTTAGTAATTGATATTTAAATGCTTAGTTTTATGATCAGTAGTTTTTATTGTAGGGGGCAAAACATAAGTCTATAATTTAAAGCAATACAATTGATGATTGAGAGATGAACAAAATAAACGTTCCTCAAAAGCCTGATGTATCATAGGCTATATTGATTCATTTTAACAATATTTTTCTTTAAAAATGTATGGATAATCATGCAAGTAAAGTTGCTTCAGTCCAGCAAATCTTCATGTTGAAATATTACTAACAATAGATATTGTTTAGTTCATAGAAATGTATAAAGATATGTGACACGTGAAGAGACACGTGTATCACAACCTGATAAAAAATGTGATAAAAATGCTAAATTATCAATCAGACGGCAGTATATTGTGTACAACAGGTTTTTGAGCAAAGTTTTGATTATGATGATAATTTAGAGGCCTTCACGTATCAAATATGATATAGGGTTTATAGGGTGAATATGTAATTTATGCCTTAAACACATTAATTAATCACAAGAAAATATTAATACATAAAATATTATGTAATATTATGTAAATATTATTTAAATATTATTTTTATATTATTAATATTTACAACAAAATATATTAATTTAATTATTTACTCCTCCCAAAAAATAAAAATATAAGAATTCCCATTAAAAAAAAAAATCTAAATGGTATATTATGATTATACACATTCAATTGAACGCCCCCCCCCCCCCCCCCAAAAAAGTTAAAGTGTATTTATTTCAGTTAACATTTATTTGCTTTTTTAAATGGTTTTATAATAACCCTTATTATCTTATGTTTATTTGTATAATAAACGGCTTCTGTCCTCTATAGTGAAGTCATGCATCAAAATGTTAATGACACTGATGAATTACTCTGTTTAGATTTATCTGATTTACATGGCATGTATTGCTTAATTGTCTTGCGTAAACAACTTCTGTTTTGCTGTAATTGGGTTAGTCAAAATGCAGCACAATAGTTGACTCAGAGGACATTGATGTGTCAGACATCATGCTTGCTAGACACTGTCTGGTATAAAAACCATTAAGCACAGAGTCTGACAGAGGAAGGAAGACAATATTGTCTGATCTGATATGGTCTGAACACACTGTCAGAGCAGCTCGCCCTCTAAACTGGAGCAGAGGAACGAGATATTAATAAAAGCAGAATCTCAATTATCTTCCATCGAGGTCCATAAAGAGAACATGTTCTAGTTTTTAACAGGGTCACATTTTCTCATTGGAAAGTCGTGTTAAGATATTACAACCCAATTTATGACTGTAGCCACGCCAGAATTGTAAGATCTCAAACCTGTTGGCATGGTTTTCAATGTTAAATCAGTGGTGTAATAGTTATATTGTGACTATCTACAGATGGTGTTACTCAAAAATAAGCTATACTTTCTCAAATGTAAGATTTTGACTCATAAGGGATTTTTACCCCACCCACAGGCACACCTACCTCAACATGTTCAGCGGCGATAAACTATCGTTGTCACTGGTGAGTCATTGATGACACAGACTAGAGATTTATCTGAGGTCATTTACACAAATCAACTCAATCCAGGGACAATTGGTTATAATACACAGTTGTGCATTGCCAACAAAGAAACTAAGAAATTAATCTCCCACTTTCCATGATTATACACTAGAGGCACAAATCCCAAAATGTTTGTGTGACATAGCTATATAATGCTTGATAAACTATTACTTAACATCAAATTAACCTACCATGAGAAGTAATTTGATTTAAACAAAACAAAATTGGAAAATTGGATTTTTCCACCTCTAAAATGGTGATTTTGGCACCTCAAAGATCTTGACCTTTCACCAAAAATCTGTCGAATTTATATTCAATTCAGTGTTGTATAAAGCTTTTTTCAATCTTAACTACTGTAATTCATCATGTTTTAACAATTTCACGTCTTACACTCCGACTCGGCATGAAAATGTAGGGCGGGACTTGATTTTGTCCATGGTGAATTGATTGGATGGCTGTGGTTTGCTATTGTGAGTGACAGTTTGACCCGCCCTTGCGCCAGTGAACGCCATCAGGAAAGAGATGTCATTGCAAGTGAGGGGAAGTAATTTTGATTAAAGATTAAAGAAGGGAAAATAAATTTAAAAACAAAAGAAGTGCACAGATAAGTCATTTATCATAAATACTGCAATATTCCATAAAAAAATCATATATATACCAATCATTTCCGGTGAGGGTCCTGCTGTATTTCACCTAGTCCTTGTAACTAGCCTTCCCATCAGAATGATTTATTGGAGGGTGTGCCCTGTACGAGAAGAGCAGCCCGACTCGTCTCAACCTGCAGGGCAACTTCCTGTTCTTCCACATAATCATCGACTACCTGCATTCTCCTGAGTGAGAGTGGGACAAATAGGGATTTACCATGGGGAAAGCATTATTGTTCCCTGAATGTGATAAAAGCACCCTGCAGTTAAATTCCTGAGTTCTCTTGCGGAAGCAATTATGACAAACTGATTACCAAAATGATCTTTACAAAAAAAATAGAGAATAAATTCCTCTGTTGATCGAACAACATTCTTTTAACTCTTAACTATTTAGTTATTTATTTTATTTAAGTTGCAAATGCATTAATGAAGCAAATGCATTTAAAGGGTTAGTTCACCCAAAAATGAAAATTCTGTCCTTCGTTCACCTTCGGAACATAAATGAAGATATTTTTGATGAAATCCGAGAGCTTTCTGACCCCCAATAGACTGCAAAGTTATTACCACTTTCAAGGCCCAGAATAGTCCATGTGACTACAGTGGTTCAACCTTAATGTAAAGAAAAGCGACAATACTTTTTGTGCGAAAAAATAAATAAATAAAAATAACGACTTCATTGAACAATTTCTTCTCTTCCGTCCACTGTTCACGTTGTGTAAACAGTGCAGCGGTTCCGGGTTCTACATCAAAACGTTGGCTCAGTATTGGCCGACACTGTTCACGTGAGCACCACGACGCATGCGTGCGATTCTGACGCTGGAGCCAGCCAATACTGAGCCAACGTTCTGATGTAGAACCTGGAAACACTGCACTGTTTACACAACGTGAACAGCGTCAGAGACTGACGGAAGAGAAGAAATTGTTGAATTGTCATTATTTATGTTTGGTTTTTTTTGCTCACAAAAAGTATTATCTTCGCTTCATAACATTAAGGTTGAACCACTGTAGTCACATGGACTATTTTAACGATGTCTTTACTACCTTTCTGGGCCTTGAAAGTGGTAATAACTTTGCAGTCTATAGGGGGTCTTCATTTGTGTTCCGAAGATGAACAAAGGTCTTAGGGCTTTTGAACAACATGAGGGTGAGTAATTAATGACAGAAATTTCATATTTGGGTTAACTAACACTTTGTTTCACCTAACGAAAACTATTTTTAATAGTTTTAATTGTACAAGTAATAGGTCAAAAAGACTTTAGTCTGATTCTGTTGTGATTAATAAACTGTCGTGTTGTTGCCAAGGTAGTGATGCATAATAACTGCCCTAGAAACACTTTTCATTGTTGCCACTATAAACTATTTTTTTCCCATTCATACACTAATTTAGATCAAGGTTTTTGGACTTACAAAAAAACAGCAACACCACTCTCAGAATGGTCAACAATGACTTCAGCAACTGTGTTGAAGACATGCCTCACAACTTCTTAAACAAAGTTAAATTTTATTAAAGAGATATATTACATTGGTGTCGAAACCAGGTGGCTTGAGCAGGAATATCAAACATTGAGGCGATATTGTTTGAGATAATTCCAAAGAGAAATAAGAAATTCTGCAGCAAGATTAAATTAAAAATACAGTTACCTCGGGCACATCCAGTGATTTTACAGAAACGCACTCGATTCCAGTTTTCAGTGTACAGAACCATATTTGTTTTGGACTACAAAACAGGAGTTTCAGCGGAGAGCAAAGTTAGTAAATGAGAAAATTAAGGTAAAAATTAAAAAACCTTTTTGCCCAGGCTAAACGTCAAGTAGTGGGAAACTGCCCCCATATCCATTTGCACTCATCTTATCTAACAAGCAAAAAGCAAATATATCTGTGACTACCACATTTATAATCAATGGATGAAACTGACTTAATCACTGGTAGTGTTCTGCTATCTTCTCTCAATCCGTTAAATTACGCAAGTAAGATGAGAAAAGAAAGCATGTGAGCGCAGGCTGAGGTAATGCACCGATCTGATCGTAGCCAAGGCAAGTGCTCTGAAACAGTGTCGAGAAGCTTAACATCATCAGTCTTTGATCCACGGGATTCGTGTCTGTGGTGAAAGGGAGGATGCATGTATAAACCTCAGGTAAGAGCACTGATCGTGTCCTGCTGAACAAAATTTGAGATCAGGACTCTTATTATGAGGTTTTATACAATCAGCCCCCGGTCTCTGGGCCGTTCATGCCTCAACGCCTTCCAGCTCTGGGGGAAGGGGGCTCTTGGGGTGCTTGCTCTCAAAATGTTGCTTGAAGGTCTTGGGATCTGGCATTTGTGACTGCAAAACAAAGAGGTTTTATGGTTTAGCTCATCACATTTTGTCTCAAGGAATTTACTGGCTTCATTCTGG